ATTCACCTGTACTTCTATCGCCAAGGGATTCCCTGGCATATTTATTTAAGGCGACAAGCCAGTGAAGCGAGTTTAACCAGTAGTGAGGACTCTTCAAAAAAAAAATTAATAACGAAATAAGTTAATAAGTGATTGGTGCATGAGTGGCAAAATCCAAAATGACTGGAAATCCATTGAGAATAGGGAATAATTCCGATTCGAAGGGCATAAGAAGTATAAGAGCTACGAAAGCTTAGGAGGTTAGAATGGTTCAGTAAGTTTACGAGTTCAGTTCCGAATGCCAGTACTGAAATTCAACGCCCAGAATGAGCCAAAATCGAGATGAACTAAACGATTACAAGTATATTTTCTAACGCCAAATGAACAAGCCAAATCAGCAATAGTATAGAAAAGAATTTGTAGAAAAAAAGAGTTTGTAAAAAAAATATTTTTCCAAACAAATTTTTTAATCATATTATGCATTTTTCTTAAAATTTTTTAAAATACTTTCATAAATATTGGTTTTTTTTCTAAAAATTTCAATTTCTAAAATTTCTAAATTTAAATTTTTTTTCAATATATGAAAATAAGTTATTAATAAAGTAAAGTTTATATAAAAAAATTTTGTATAATTTTTAAAATTTCACATAATTATTAAATTTTTCATCACAAACTTTTACCACTTTCTTTTTTTTTAAACTAAAAATCAAAAATTAAAATTTAAAATTAAAATTAATTAAAATTAATTTCAAAATTAAAAATTAAATTTTATAATAATTTTATAAATCGAAAATAATAATTTTTGAAAAATTTTTAATTATTATTTTTATAATAATTCTTCTAAATAAGTATTCTTCGCTATTTTATTTTCAACTGGATTAATCTCAACAATTCTAGTTTTCTTGAATTTTTATAATTCTGTGAAAAAAAAAAATTGTCGGAAAATATTCAATTAAAATTATCTTTTATATATAATAGAAAAATATAATGGAAAAACTGCAATAGAAAAATGTGATTATGGAAAAATACCACCGAATAAAAACCATCGAGCGATTCTTGTGATACCTTTAAATTTCGATGCCATTGAATGCCTAAACGGCCTAAAGGCTTACGCTTTTTGCCGCTATATAACCAGTAAGATAGACTCATTTATCAGTTGATAAAGTGATAATTTTCATTTTAATTCACTCTTAAACCAAATAACTAATAAGCAAATAGATTTTCAGCTCGAATAGTTGCAGCTAAGAATCATTATCGAAACCAAAATTTGCATACATCTGGCAATTTTATCAAATCATATCACATGAAAACCATGAAAAAAGCCTGATTAAAAAAAAATACCTGGCATGCTTAATGTACATATAACGATAATATCGACGTAATTTGGTCCTTCACGCTATTGATCTCCGTTTCTCAGTTGTCCACAAATCGATGCATGAATTGCTATATTCCAAACCATACATTTGAGGGTGGCAAAATAAGGCCTTGGACAATGCTAAAAGCAAGGGTGGCGAAATAAGACCTTGGACAGTACTAAAAGCGAAGGTGGCCAAATAAGGCCTTGGACAATGCTAAAAGCAAGGGTGGCGAAATAAGACCTTGGACAGTACTAAAAGCGAAGGTGGCCAAATAAGGCCTTGGACAGTGCTAAAAGCAAAGGTGACCAAGTAAGGCCTTGAATTCCTTTAAAAAAAAAAAAAGAAAATGAGGATGAAAAAACAAATCCTCAAGGAAAAAAATGGAATGGAGCAAAAGGAAAAATTATGGCACGGGCAATTACCGCAATTGATAAGGGCCACGGCTGTGGAAATCGTTCAAAGTCTTGTGGTCATTTAATTTTAATTACCTGTCCATGCCATTCTCATCGCATGATTTCTTCTTTTTTGCTTTTTTTTTTGTGTGTTGCATTGTTATCATTGTTGTCATTGTTATCACCGTTATCATTGTCATCACTTTTGTCATTATCAGCGCTGTTGTTATTCTTACTAATGATTATTAGATGTTCTTTTATTTGCGATAATTTTTTGCGTTTTTAAATTCGACAGAATTTTTCTGCCGAACAAATAATTTTTTTTGCGAAATAAAAGATGTATTTTCGCGTAAAATTTTGCACGTAAATTCGCGTAAAAAGAAATTTTACTCATCGAGCAAATTTTATTTGTTTTGTTTTTTTTTTTTTATAAATATAATTTTGAAAATTGATTTTTTCGATATTTTTTATCGCAAAATTTTTATTTTACTTGTTTTTTTACAAAATATTAAATATATATTTAAAATATCTATTTAAAACATTAAATATATATTTAATATATATTTAATATATTTAAAACTGCAAAATAAATATGTAAATAAAAAATAAATGTGTAAATAAATATAAATATATGCAAATATACATAATTTCCGAATTTCCGAAATATTTAATTTTTTATTGTAATTTTGTAATTTTTAAAAAAATTTTTCAAATTTGAATTTTGAAGAGATTCGAGATTATTTGAAGAATAATATTTAATATATTAATATTTATATTTAACATTTTTATTAATATTTTTAATATATTAATATATTTATATATTTTTTAATATATTTAATAATATTTAATATTAATATTTAATATTATATATCAATATTTTGTAGCAAAAATTTAGTCAATATTTAGTGGTACCAATATTCACTACTGAAAATTAAATTAACATGTAGTGATGCCAATAGTCAATATATAATGGTACCACTAGTTGCTTTATTCATATTGAAAATAGAAGTCAACATACTGTGACAAATTTCTTTACTACTGAAAATTAGACCAATAGAGTGTGGCACGAAAATTAAATTGCTTTATCATTTAAGAATTACGTCAATTTACTGTTGGTACCAATAATTGATTTGCACGAGGGAAATTTAAATTAGCATAGGAAAAATTAAAATAATCTTGAAATGAATATTTTTCTTTTTTTTTTTCGTTCTTTTTTCTTTTAACCTGCAAATTTCCGGTTTGACTAGATGCATTGATTAGTTAATTGTCCTAGATCTTTTCGCTGGAAAGTTTAGAAAACTAGAGATGTACAAGCGTTTTCAAGATTTCAAATGGCCACTCGATTATCACTTTTATTGACAGATTTACTCTTATTAAAAGGGTATAGGGGGAAAATTCGAATTCATGTTGTTGCTTTATTATCGAATCAATCACCGAAAAGATTTAGTTTATCGCTTTATATCACCGAATCAATATATCACCAATTTTTTTACCCGAATGTGTATATGCATAAAAAAAAAAAATTGAACATACGGCTAAATTGCTAACGTTTGTCGTTTTTTTTTTTTTTTGATTAAATCGACCTAAATCGATGGAAAATTTCTCGTTATCTCGTTAATAAATATTCCATTTTTCTTTTTTTTTATTGCAATAAATTAAAATTATTTTTACTTGTATTTTCTCTTTTTCAGGTTTCAGGTTTGAGGATTTATAAACGCCCCGAAAAGATTTAGTTACGAATCAATGAATTATTGTAATAGGTAAATTCATAAAAATTGTTGATGGGGGAGGGAGAAGGGAGGAGGGAGAATTGCTGGAGGGGAAAAAGAAATGAAAGGAAAATAATGAGGGAATTGAGAATTGAAAACAGAATGAGGGGAGAAGGGGAAATGCCGAAATTGTAAAGAGAAAATTAGGACGAAAAGGAGGAAAGGGAAAAAATTCAAATTTAAATCAATTTGATCAAAATTCGTTCTTTTTTTTTTTTTAAACAAAAAGAATTAAATTAATTTTTCTCCATTTTCATAGTCGTTTTTTTTTCTTTTCATGTACTTAAAAGAAAAAATTTTTTTTGATGATTTTAATTTTTATTAAAGGTTTTAAAAAAAAGTCCATTCTTTTGAATTTATTTCTTTTTTTTTAGAAATAAAAATTATTTAATTAAAATTTTCAGAAATAATAACTAAATAATTATGCATTCAACAATTCTTATAAAATGTTAGATATTCGATACTTTTTTTACGCGATATTCTGTGCTTTATAGGGTAATTTTTAAAATTTTAAAATCGAAAATATTTTAAAATTATTTTATTCTTATTTTTCCTAATCATTTTTTTAAATTTTTTAATTAAATTTAATTTTTTAATTTTTTTTAAAATATTAAATATAACTATAGATAGAACAGTAAAATAATAATTATAATCATATGAAATAATAATGAAAAATAATATAATCACAAAGCAAACGGTCTCATTGCTCTTTTATCAACTATAAAAACAATACCACTGAATTTTGAAGAAAAAATACTAATTATAAATAAATAATAATAATAAAATAATAACAAAAATAATAATTAATAATAATAATAATAGAAATAACTTTTGTATTACTTTTGTATGAAGATTTTGCATATTGTTTCATGCGAATTCATCTTAAAAAGAAATGAATTTTTTGAGATTTTAAAATTAGCGAAATATATTTTTCGAAATAATACAAAAGCTATACAAATAATATACAAATAATAAATAATATAATATTAATGTAAAGCTAATAATATAATATTAATATAATAATAATATAAAGCTATACAAATAATATAATATTTAAAAGCTTACGGCGTTAAAAATTTAATTTTTCATTGAAGGAAAAATTTTGTTATTGAGGAAAATTTTTGGCTGCTTATGTGGTTTAAGTTAATCTCATTTTATCTAATTGCCTGTTGACAATCATTCCTTCATGCCGATTCTTGGAGCTCCTATTTATTCTCAGTCGACCCTCCATAAACTTTCCATAAAATTCCTTCAAAATTTCCACCGATTCCTAAGGAGTTTTCAAAGTAGGTAATTTTTGCAATGAAGAAAGCTAATTCATATTTCGATGGAATTTTCACCTATGATTTTTTATTTTTATCAATTTTTATTCTTTTTATTTCTTCTAAAATTATTTCTTCTAAATTTCTAAAATTACTCCCTATATTTTATCTGAAATTTTTCTGAAAAAAATCTCTCTCTTTTAAATATTTATTTATTGTAGGAACTGCAAAGCATTTATTATGAATCCATCAGATTATAATGAGAATAATAGCAATTTATCGAGGCAAAGAGATGGTTCACTCATTCGAAAAAAGCGACTACAATGGGCGATAGAAAAAGGTTTGTAATTTTTTCAAAATCTTTCAAATCCAAGCAGAACTAATCATCACACAGGAAAAAATATTGAAACTTTAATATGGAAAAATGTGGAACGAATTGGCCCCATTCTATGTTCCTCAACAGCATTTATTGTGAAAATTGGATTTTTATTTTAAATTTCTTATTTTCATCTTCACGCTATATTCATTATTTTTGTAAATTTCCAGTGTTTGCTCGATCTGATTAAACTGAATAAAAATTTTTCAGTAATATTTCTAGAATACGATTATTAATTGAGCTATTTAATTTATGCATTATTATTTATTAATTTTAAAATTTTCTAAAATTTTATTGATATATTTCAACAATTTTTCTAATTTTCTAGTATCTCTTATTCCTATTTCTTTTATTATTTGTTATCTTTACGTTATCTTTGTATATAATTTTTTTATTTTTTAGAATAGAAATTTTCCATTTAATGGGAATTTTTATTAAGAAAAAAAAAGAATACTTGATTTATTGCAGCAAATGAAGAAACTTGGTTTCCATTTGGTACACCTGGTGGCGGTGCACCGAACAAAAAACATGAAGCAATCGATCATCAACATCTAAAGGAACTGGTTTGTTTTCTTTTCAAGATATTTGAAAGATTGTTTTTTAACTTTACTTTGATAAATGAATTTTTTTAATGTACTCTCTAATATATCAAAGAAGCGTAAAATATATTGCTGAGCATTTTCCAGTGATAAATTTTTCACTAAAAAATTTATCAAATTTAACAAGTTTAATTCTTTTTATTTTTGTATTTTTTGAATTTTTTAATAATTTATATAATTTTTTAAAATAATTTTTATATAATTTCTTTTATTTTTATTTATTATTATTTTGTAATATTATTTTGGTTATCGTTAATTATTTTTTTCAGTTATTTTGAAAAAGAAATTTTTTTATTTTTTTTTAATCCAAAGTATTTTAGCACTTCTTAAAATGAAGAGAAGAAAATTACAAAATATTTTTTATTTGATTTATTTGATTTTTCATTTCTCTCATTTCTATTTTCGACATCTTTTATTAATTTATTCTTTTCAGCAGAACTGTGGAACAGCAGAGAGCGTTTGTGAATATTCTTCTTGTCATTCCCAACAATCATCTGTTAGTATCGATAAACCGGTAAATATGGCAAATCCTGTTAAGGTATATTTGTTCTTTTATTTCTTAAAAATATTTGCTTTTGAAATGTTACGAGTGAATTCAATAATGGGCACTTTTATTGGAATTCGGAGTCTTCTTATATCTTTTGAAGCTAGAAGAAAACTATTTAACATTTTTTAGTGTCAAGGCAATTTTGTATTTTATTTGTCATTTTATGTTTTATTTTCATTTTAAGGTAGTCGAAGCTGGACCACAAAATTCTTCATTTATAAATCCATGTTTATCTCCTTATGTGCCATCTGTAAACGGTCCCATACCTGTGCGTTTTATTTATCCACAGAATTCATTTGGACAAGCAATGCAGCCTGAAGCTTTTCAAGTAAATTAATGATTTCTTGCAGTAAGTGGGATTTGTCGCTTGAAAATCTTTCTTTTAGAAGGCTATTTTTTAGTAATGAATCGGTATTTACTATAGTAAGTTTAAAATCTTTGTTTGATATCTAATAAACAAAAATATTACAATTCTTGCGTAATTGCACATTACTATTTTACAGCTGTCACCGAATGGCTTTAGTGGTTATTCTCTTGCTTATCCTGTGCAGATTATTTCTCAATCTTTCAATGATTTGTCGCAAACGGTACGTTATGTAACCAATTTTACTAATTTTTACTAATTTACTCGAAAATTTAAACAAATTCACTGATCTTTTTATCATTTCATTTTCGTTTTGTTATAATTTTTATTTTTTATTATTATCTTCTAAAAAGGTATATATACGACTATAGTTTTTCAGAAAACGGCTGTAGATGGTCAGCAACTTGAAGTTATACAACCTTGCTCAGAACAGTGGGCAAATCAAGCTTTATGGCGAAATTATCCTCCAATAGAAAGTGTAAGAACGTCAACACCAACAAGTTTCGGTAGTTTTTATTTATTTAAAAAGCATAGTCACAGAATAATAGCCATTTTTATTATTACAATGACAAATAATATGAAAAAACCTATGATAAATATGATAATACCATATTTATTCATTAATCACAATAAATTACGGATGAAGTTTATATTAAATAATATCTTCAATAGTTCTCTTAAGTTTCTAAAACAATCTCTAAAACTAATTATGTTATTAATTATATTATTAAAGTAGTGTTGAGAATAAAAAAAAATTCCGAACCAAAAAAAAATTTTCGGATAGTTTTACAGGCGTGGTCCATAATAGTTTTTATAGGTATTAATAATGCATCTTCGGGTAATCAACCTCTTGCTGTTGTTAGGCCTTTAATAATACCGATTGTTCCACCAAACCATTACATGGATCAGCAATCTACTTTATTAAGTCAACCAGGTTTTTTTCAGTTATTTTTATAATTAATTAATGGTATTTTGATAATTTATAAAAAATTTTTTCAATTTCTGTGTAGCATAAATATTTGATATATTTCAGTCCCTAGTGAAAAAAATAATTCATTGAGCAGCTCAACAACATCGCTGTGTTCTTCATATCTAAGGAGTATCGATTCAGATTCGAAGATACGCGCCAAACAAACTGAAGTAAATTTTTCAGAATTAATTCCATTTTTTATTTTAATAAATATTTTTTTTAAAAGATGCTTCATATTGGAATTTCAGCAAATATTTGATGCGCAAGTTTCGGAAAAGAAAAAAGCAGAAGCATTGCGAATAGAAGAAGAAAAAAAAGAATTGATTAAAAAGGAAAATGAAAGAAAACATATGGAAGAAATAGAAGCGGAAAAAATTAATGAGGAGGAAATGCGGCGATTGAAAGCTGAGGAGGTTTTGATTTTTTCTTTTTGTTATGGTATTGGTCATAAGATTAAAAAAACTTGTTTAATTTGTGGAATATTTTAGGAAAAGGCTCGAATAGAAGCAGCAATTCTCGATTCTATAGAAAAAGCTAAAAAAGAAGCGGCCTTGCTCAGGAAGGCAAAAATTTATAAACATATTCTTGAAGGTTCAGAAAATACCTTGGAGAAAAGCGTCCTTGGTGATGATGAGCTTGAAAATTCTAGATTGATACGTGAGGTTAGACTTATTGCAAATTATAGTTGTATTTCTAACTTAACGTTTTGGTAATAATTTAGGTGGAAGTTTTGGAACGTCAGAAACAATATGATATGGAAAGATTAATGAATGGATTAAAAATCAAAAGCAAAGATTCAAAAAATGATAATCGCCAGAATCCGATGGTTAATTTGTTTTTTATTTCTGAATATTTTTTAAATTATGGTTTTTTTAAATGTTTTAAGTGTTGATTTTTTTTAAAAATTTTTATTTTGCATATTTTTTATTTTTTTTTAAGCCAAAAGGATCGCGAAATATTAATTGTTCATCAACATCGGCTGATGGTTAGTATAGTTACGATATTTTTAATTTTTTAAAAGATTAAAAAGATTCAGTTGTTAAAACAATTTATAATAGCAGTAGGAGTTTATCATTCGTATAGGATATATATTCTAATATATATATATATATATATTCTATATGTATATGAATAATAACATTACACTCGTAAATCTCTAATCAGAGATCTGGAATTTACGAAACGTAGATCGAATGTAGTGATAATCAGTATATTTTCCATCTGTCGTTACCGAATATTAAATTTTCGTTATTTGGCTGTTTCTATACTTTTTAATGATACTCTGATACTTTGACTAAAGAAAGATGTGAATTTTGCTGTCTTTTGATTCATAGTAAATCTTGTCATTAAGTTATCTATAAGTCGGCATCACTTGGAGTGTCAAGCTATCCTTCCATAATTTAATTTTTCATTTTATGAAATAAAGATTATAAATTTCATTTTCTGAATCTTTAATTATATTCATCTTTTAGAGATTATTTTTTAGATTCTTTACCATTTGATATGAATTTATCGCGCAATAGTCGAGGAAGGCAATCACTTCGATTACCTTCAAAGCCAAAACATTTATTGCAGCATCGTAGTGATAGTACGGAACGGATTTCATTAAAAAACGAGTTTGGTTTTGTTTTTTTTTTATTAATTTTTAATAGTTCAAAATTTGTAAGATTCTGAGGTCCTCCATAATCTTTTCCTCTTTGCTGTTACATACTTATATGCTTTTAATCATTTTCAGTAATGATCAATTAATATCATTACTCTTACTCAATGTCATTCTTACTCGATTAAAGTTAATAATGCACTTATTTATTTATTTAAAAACAGCCAAACAAGGCGCAAATGCCTTATGCTTATATTAATAGCAACAGTTAAATAAGAATTAATGACAACAAAAATAATAAAATAAAATAAAATTAACAATTTAAAGGTGAAATAAAGCGAAAATTACAAAATAATATAATTCGAAATAATAGTACAATTCGAAATAACTATAATCGAATGGTAAAAATCGAGTTTTCACTCTTCCTACATGATGTGAACTTTTTAAATAATGAATAAATGATGTTCATAAATGATATTATCTAATTTTTTTTTAAAGATATAGAAGATATGCCTTAATATTAATTAATATCTTATATATACGATATATCTAGGGATAAATATATTTGAATGAATCTTAACTGTCAGTTTGAACACTCATAGTTAATTGTCTTAGGCGTTATGCTGTTCGAGTATATATACATAAATATATATACATATATTTTTAGCATTAAAAAACGTCGAGTACCACCGGAGCAAAATTCTTCTAGAAAATCAATTAATGGTAGTACCATTAGCGAAAATAATCAGTTTGTTGAATCACCAGTTTCAAATAAATCTTTAGTCAATGACCAGTGTTTCGATGAAAATATTCCAAATGGTAATCATTTTTTAATTTTTTCTTGAAAACCAAGATTCATATCCATTAGAATGGGATAATATGAAAGATTATTTTTATTGCCTTTTGGATTTTTATAATTATTTTCGTTTTTTTTTGGAAATAATTTTGCTAGTTAGATGCTAAACAAATTTTTTAGGTGTTAATCCTAGTTTTAGGTGTTATTTCATCCTCGAAGAATTCTTTTGATCGTTTGCACAAACCATCACCAGAATTACGCCGTTCCAATGCGAATACCCTAGATCACCGATTATCTATAGGACTTCCATCCAACATTATGAAGGTACCACTCATTTTTTTACTAGATTATTATTTATTATTTCTATTTTTGTTGGGAAAACTAATAATAAAGTTCTCTATATATTTTCGCCAATTATAATATTAATATTTTAAAATATTAACATTAAAATATTTTCTATTGACGAATTTTAAATGTTAAAGATTTAAGATGAATTTAGACACGTAATGAAACAGTTAATCGTTCGAAAATCACCATAAATGGTAATTCAACTTCGGTGAGTTAACACTTGTTTTATATATTTAATATTGTCGATAATTTTTGTAAAAGTTCTGAATTTTTGAAAAAAAGCTTTTTTGTAGGGCATAAAATTTTGATCTAGTTAGTTAGTTACAGTACTGGTAAACAATTTGGCTAACTCCATGTAAATAAAAGAGCGAATTGTTAAAATATTCAAGTGTTTAGATAATTTCATGGCAATAGAAAAAGGGGTCCTAAAAATAAGAAAATATTTAATATTTAAATATTATTTGTTCGATAGAAAGAAGTAAAAAAAAAGGCAAATATTGAACATTAATCTGTTTATCACATTTTTTTTCTTTCTCATTTATTTTTCACCTTAATGAAAAAAAAAATCGTGAACAAGGCTATGTCAATAATATAGTAATAATTTCTGAAAATTTAGTTTTAGACAAATTAGAGAATATGAAAAATTTGTAAAAACAATAAAAAATTAACTTAATGTAGTTAGCAGATGTTATAGATGAGATTTAAACATCTGTTTTAGCAATTTATTGTAAGTGTATTTTTCCACACAAAACCTTTTACTTCTTAATTTATTTATTTATTTTAAATTTTTTCTCCTACGATTATTTTAAATAAACTTAAGATAGTTTAATTTATTTTGTTTTTTTTTCTAGATTATTACAATTAATTTATTTGATTTAATTTAAGAAATATATATTTTTTATTGAAAATAATGTTAAATATGAATTCGAAAATGATTGAATTTTGTAAATTTTATTACTTTAATCTTTGTAATAATTTTATAATTTTTATCATTTCCTGATAAAAAAATTCGATTAATGTGTAATTTAATAAATTTTAATGCGAGTTAGGTCATTAAACTTATTATTTAATTATTTTTGCTTAATTATTGATGCGAGCCAATCTCAACGATCAACCTAACCTAATCCATTTACTAGGCAAGTTGAATATTGAACGTTTCTATTGAAAATTTATGAAAAAAATATCTATGAAAATTTTTTGCTAATCGTTTGATTGATAGTGTTTAATTCAAAACGTCTAAACTAATTGTCCTATGCCTTTTGCTTCATTTTATTGTTCTAAGATTATTTAAAAAGAAATAAATATATAATATGAGAAATATATTTTTGAATTTCCGCAACAGCTGATCTTTAAGAAAAAAAAAAAATTTTAGTTGAAAATATTTTATATCTGAATCTCTTACTTTTCTATAATTCTATAATTCTCTATATATTCTAAAAGTTTTTAGAGAAAAATTAGGTTTTTCGAAATATTCCGATAAATATTTGAAATGCTTATTTATGAAATAACTTTGTTAAAATTCCCTGCGGCATTTAAGTATTTTACAACTATTGGGTTACCAAAAAAATTATTTTAAGGTTTTCATTTGACATTATCAAATTATTAATATAACGAATATAAATTAGTCCCTTTGATAATTCTGTTATTTAATTCGGTTAGTCAGTCTTCTACTTTTAATTTTCTTCATTTATAAGGTGCTGTTCGCGTCTATTAATTAGATTTTAGGAAATTCTACATTTTTTTAAAACCTGAATTATAAAAGATAAAGGAGGAAATGATATAAGAAATAACGCACTGGTGATAAGAAACATTTTTGCTTGATGTATTATCCCAATGTTTCGTTAACTATTGGAATAAATTAATAAATCCTATATAAATAGAATTTTAAATTATAATTGCATCCTACTGATATGATTTCTGTACAATTAGTTTTATTTTATTTTAAAATATAAATCGGAATTATTTACAATATTGCTTACCATAAACATGTTTTTTTATACTATTTTTACTAATATAATAATTTTGATTTTTTTTTTATTTATGATTTTATCATTTATCAATATGAGCGATCGCATTATTATTATCATGCTTGATCTTCGAAAAAAATAAATTCTCTTATAAATACAAATATGAATAATAGAAATAGATACAAATAATATTTGCTTATAGTCATAATTATAAATAATATTTGTTTTGTATTTGTATTTCTATTAATATTTCGAATTGTTCAAAAAAAAAAAACTTATTTTACTTTTCACTTATTTTACTTTTTTCATATTCACTTATTTTACTTTTTTCATATTTATTTATTTAATTTTATTTATTTATTCGGTCTTTATTCATTTATTATTATTCAAATATTATTCATTCGTAAATTAGAACTGCCGATTTGCAAACTTGCGAAATTTGAATTACACCAAGCGGTGACAATTGCGATTCTTCGAGAAATTCTCGCTAAATCGAATCAATCGGCTATTCACAAGTAGATTAAAATTGTTTTAACTTCGAAAAGGTATTAATGAACTTATATATATGTCCTTGTCGTTGAGATTAATATTAACAGCCACACTATTCGTTATTCAATTCCATACATTTATTTCCACAATATTTTCATTTCGATATATTTAATAATTGATAATTTTTTCTTCTAATAGCTATCACCATTACTGGTTAAGTTGGCTCCGCTGGCTACAAGAGTAAGGTGTCTGTCTCCAAGCTGCTTGGTTGGACACCATTGCTAGTAGTAATAGAAGCCATTCCTTTTTCCATCGTCTATATCCATATTTCGCTGGTCTTCCTATGCGTTTAAAATTTTCCCTGACTGTATCAGTCCAGTTCTTTACTGGCTCTCCTCGCTTTTGACGCTAATCATCACAAAGGGTTCGACAACTAGCGAAGAACGTGTTCTAATCAGCTAAGGCGATTTATGGACATAAACGCTCTGTGATAAATTATTAAGAAAGGTGGTATTTGAGCGAAGATGGATAATGGATCCAGTCATATGCGATTTTATCCTCTCGACAGATCCGTAAAATGTTTCTTAGACATGAGTGGTCAATAATTCATAATAGCTATTATAAATTGATCATATGTTTGTTTAACTGATTAATTGATAATTAATAATTTTATTTTGTATTTTTATTACTCTGATATTTATATCTGATATCAATTTATGATAAAAACCTATAAAAATTTATCATTAATTTTTTTTATTCATTTTCCGTTAAATATATATGTATATCAGTTATTCAGTTATTTCTATGATTTTTCGATTTTTTATCATTTATTAATTTCATAAATAAAAAAGATTTTGAAATTTTATTCTATCGATAATAGCAAGGGAAAGTGGTCAAAAGGGTGCCGGTGAAAAATAGCTGAATTTATTGCATAGTAAGAGAAGTTGGCAAAGAAAGCGATTTGTTGGTTCATCGTAGAAGAGGGAAAAATTACGAGAATTATTTTCATATTTTGCATTTCTTATGAGTAATGCTTAATTTTTTTTTCATGTCTTTCATTTCAAATTTTTCTTTTCTTTTCAAAATTTAAAAAAAAAATTTCTGATATATGAAAAAAATATTAGGGAATTTTTTTATTTATTATTAATAATTTTTTTATTCAATTTAATTTATAAGTTAATTTTTGAAAAAAAATAGGAATTAATTTGAAAAAAACAAAGATTATTTTTTATTAGATTTTTAATTTTAATTTTAGATTTTTATTTATTATTTCTGTTTAACTGATTAATTGATAATTAATAATTTTATTTTGTATTTTTATTACTCTGATATTTATATCTGATATTAATTTATGATAAAAACCTATAAAAATTTATCATTAATTTTTTTTATTCATTTTCCGTTAAATATATATGTATATCAGTTATTCAGTTATTTCTATGATTTTTCGATTTTTTGGTAGAAAACTCTTTTCCTTTTTTTCATTTCATTTTTTTTGATTGTTATTTTATTAATATTTATTTTATTTATTTACTTCATTTTTAAGCCCTAATTTATCATTTTTCTTTTTTTTTTGATTTTTATCAGTGGAAAATGCATAATTTTTAATAATAATAAATAGTAATAATACAATAATAAAAATAATGAAAAATAATTTATGGATTTAGTTCGGTTCACTAGCATTAATTTTCCAACATTTACATTCGTTGGTTAGTAGCATATTAATTGATTGTTGTTACGCTTTGATTTCAAAATTTTTATATATATAAAATTTATATATAAAATTTTTATTTTTAATATTTATATTATCATATCATATTTCTTGTAATTATTATTTATAAATAATCTAATTATAATATTTAAAAATATTTATTTGAGATATATGTCGAGTGTAAGTGGCATAAATTTAATTCTTTTCGTTTAACAAGAATAAACCTTTCCTTTCATTGAATCATCTATAATATAATGATAAGACCCTTATCATAAGTACTAAACAGAAATAGTGAATGGTTGAAAGGTTTATGAATTCATTTAAAAAAAAAAAAAGGATAATTTCGTTTTTTTCATTAATTTATTAATTGTGTAAATTTATTATTGTTTCTTAATGGTCTATTAGTTTTTTTCAGAACAATCCATTATACGGACGAGTACCAACGCGGACAAGGCATAATCGTATTGCTATGGAGAATAATTTAGAGCGTAATGAAAATTGTGGTAAAATTTCTTCTATTCAAGGAGAATGGATATCACCTATATCGCCTATAATTGAAGGAGAATGGTAGAAAAATTATTTTTTTTTCAATATATTTGAAGATTTATTATTTAAATAATTTAATTTAATTTAAGGAATAAAATTTATTGTTAAAATTGAAAGTTTTATTCTTTTGGTTACGATTATGAATTAAAAAAATTGATTAATCCAGTGCTAGAAAATTTTGCTTTTTTATCATTCTTATCATTATCATTGGTTAAAAAGAAATTTATTGCGATAGTAGATAGTATTAAATATTTTAATGGATTGTTATGAATTTTTGCAAAAGAAAAATTTATAGCATTATGGCGAAAACATGGGCCTAAAAAAGACCTAACTAGTTAAAAAAATCATTTTTTCATTATCAATTAATGATTAATGATTATTCTAATTAGCTCTAAAATTTTTAAAAATAAATACCAAGTGTTAAAAGCTTTTTTTTTTAAGTGAATCAGTTCCGAAAAATCACGGCGATCAAAAGAAAGAATATAGAAGAGTAACGAAAGTAAGTTATTTTCTTATCTTTGCTTTAAATTTTTTGTCCATATTTTTTTTTCATTCGCTCTTAATAAAATTTATATTTTTAAATTTTTTTAAAAAGAATAATTTTTAAAATTATTTTTTCGAAAATTTAATAAATTCAATTTAAACTGAAACTGGAGAAATAATGAGAAAAATAATAGATAATATTGGCAAGTAAATTCACAATTCATTTCGATGAACAGTAAAAATTTTTTTTCTAAACAAGATTTATTTACTTTTGTTTCACGTATCGCAATTTTAGTTACCGAAATCAGGTGATTTCGTGGCAAAAGAAAATGGATCCATTGCCAAATCACCGTTTTTGAGAAGCCTTGCCGAATCTGGTATCCGTCAGCATCGACCTATGCAAGATATATCATCGCCTGAAATCAAACGTAGAGACGAAATACCATTGAGCAGTTCAAGGTACTTTTTGTTAATTTTTGATCACATTTTTAAAATCAGAAAAAGTTCCCTCACCTCTCGTGAGTGGTATGGCTTATTCTCATCCTCAGGTCCTCTATCAGAGGTCTGGAAGTTTATGGTTGGGCAGATAAATGGAGCCTCTTGCCCAAGGTCTCTTTGAAATGGAAAGGTGAAAAAGTGGTTACGATTTGAGCTGTTATTAGATTCTTACTGCCTTGACTACCGTTCGCTTTTTAATATCATTTATATATGTAATATCAGTAGGTTTATTTGTTCATTGTAAATCTATACATTTATTTGTAGGCATCGAATGTCTTCGACAAGTTTGGCAGTGGAAGATAATGAAGAAGGACGAATGTCACCTATATCGCCTATAATTGAACGATTTAATTCAAAGGTTGTGATTTTTTTACAATTTATTTTTCGGGAATATTTGAAATCAAATAAATCTGACACTTTTAGACATCGCAATATCGTTCATTTAATATGAAAAAGATGAGTGAACGTAATCAAAAAGTTCTGGAGCAGTTGGCCAATCTTCGTCTTCAGCTTAAGCAAAAACAACAACAAATGGAGCAAAATCTTAATATTGCTAGTGGATTGCCGATTCGGCGAATTCGAACGCCAACTAATGATAAATCATCCGATGAAGTTATCGCAACAATTTAGAAATCATATTATATTCACTAGAAAATAAAATATATTTTTTTAGGCTTTTTAGATTTTTTTTTATAAAATATATTTTACAAAAAAATATATTTAAAAGGTTGTGAAAGTTTGGTTGGCAGATTAGTGAGAAAAAGGCACGAGTGCCATTTCCAAACAGATTTTATTTTTATTTTAATATATAAATATTTTGTATTTTTTGTTTGGATCGCCATTATCGTCATTGTACAAAAAAAATTATTGTTGTTATTTCGTTTCTCATTTTGTGCCTTTCATCGCTTTCTTGCCTCGAATTTTTTCATCCATATTTATTTATTTTTCTTTATTTTTATGTTTTATTAATCTTTTTTTTATAGCAAAAAAATTCACATTTTATTAGTTCTTTAAAAGCATTCCTTTTTTTTTCTCTATTTCTAAATCTTATCAACGCTAATTTTTTTATAATTATTGTTTTTTCCATTATACGTTATATTTTCTTTTTTTTTTCTTGAAAAAATTATTTTTGATTTTGAATAATCAATTATCTGTTAATTTCCCTCTTTTTTTTGCTTAAAATTTTTTCATTTATGGGACATTTATGTTGAGTTTTTTTCTCACTTTCTTGATTTTTTTTATTTTTTGAAAAAAGAAATCTAAAAATTATGTTTTTTTCTTGAAAATGGAAATTTATGAAAAAAATTTTATATTTTATTTGAAAAACTACGCTATTTTACATGTATTCTAATATTTACTGCCTTATTTCAATAATTGTTCGTTTGTTCGCTTTGCATTAATTGCATTATTTTTTCATTTTAAGTTCCAATATTTGGTATAAATATTGAGGATATTTAAAATAGTAATTTGAGGAATGAGTTATATTATTATTATTATATTATTGAACATTATTCTAAATTCTATAAAAAAAATAGCATTGCATTTTTTATAGAAAAATTTCTAAGATAATTTAGTTTAATTGTTGAAATGGCAATTATCTGATAAGATAATTGAATTATTGATAAAATAAAAAAATTTTGAATTTCTATCTTTATTAGAAATTGATCAAAATTTTTTTTTTGTTTTGATTTTATTTTATTAATAATTTTTTTTTCTGTATAAAGAATTCTCTGCGAAATTGTCTGTAAAAAATGAAGTTATTTTTATTTAAAAGTGAAAAAAATTTAAAAAAATTTTTCAAAACAAGTATAATCTTATTGGACTCAAATATATTCTTTTATTCTTTACTAACTAGTAAAATTAATAAAACTCGTTCTTCGGGGGGGGGGGGGGGGGGGGGGGGGGGGGGGGGGGGGGG